CGTGAAAGGTGTGAAACTAGTGCAGCTCCATAATTGCATGCAGGGCCACATGTACAAAGGAGGCGTCTGAACATCAAATGAACGCGGGAAAGGTGTTTAAGAAATTGTTTCACCTTTCCTTCTCTATCAAAATCATCTGAACCCTACCATTTCCGTGTGTTAATGAAATCGGACATGATCACCTCAATGCGCAACCAGTCCTGTTTTTCAGTTACCCTTCGGTGCCCCCACCGCATCTACTATCGTTAAGCATCATCCTTTATTTTATCTACAGTTCAAAACAATCTAAATTCTACGCAATAGGAACGTTTCCGTTTAAGATGGTCCTTCGGAGATCTATCAACGGGAACCTACAACGTCTCAAGACGCTATAGAGAGTGGTTATTTCGACGGATTACTTGAAGGAAATGTCGAATACTCTGACGAAAGTGATATAGAAATGGAAATAATACAAAAGGTGCCTCCAATACAGTTTTTTTTTCGAGTGATAGTCATTCACGTCAGTAGATGATTATTTTGTCTCTTCAGATGCAGAGGACAGTAGACGTTATCGTGTCAGAAGTTCGCCAGTGCGAGTACTGCCATGTGGTTATTCCGTTGGAACGATCAAAGTCTGACTATCGGATGAGGACGTGGCCTTACGATGAGTATGTGGACTTAACCAAGCTATTCCTTGGTGCAAAATTACTTTGAACTGCAAAATTCATCGTTTTAGTGTGAAACACGAAAAGTATCTCTCAATAATGGGGTTTCCAAAAGAGTTTGATGAAGAAATGCGTCGCCTTTGGGTAAAAAGACGAATTGAGCCACTTGACGTTGCACCTGGAAGCATTTATAAGTATCCAACTCTCAACATATGTCAGCAGCACTTGGATATGGCGGTAGGTTCTTGCTTTCCTCTCCTTTTTATTTTCTTCTTGTGTTTTTTTTTGCGTTATCGCTTCTGGTGTCATCAGGTTATGTGGTGTTATCAGCTTACATTTTTGGTCCAATTCAAATATTTGACTGTACCTTCGTTTTCGAAGCTGGGATTACCGATAGACCACTCACCATCTTTCACGTTGCCGCGTTTCCTTTTTGATCCTTTTTTTGCTGAATTGCGGGTATCTAAATTGGAAACGCAGCTCAGCAGCCGGGTAGGGGCGTGCATTTTGCACTTTTACTTACTTCTCCCCGTCGATGTGTCGAGCCATCAAATAAAGACCTGTGAGATCTTGTAAAGCCACGACTGTTACCAGCCTAGGTTCCAAATACTGTACGGAATATCACTTACCACGATATCGGCGGAATTTGTCTCAGTTTCACAAACAGTTTCAGTTTTTTCCTCACTACACCTTTCTTCCCAAAGTCACACTTCCATCATCGAATGAGCGACAAATCACATTTCCTCCTATACTTGTTCGGAATTACCTGCTGGGCGCGTACGAAGAACAGTTGTCAATATGCGTCAACCGGGATGGTTTTGGCGCGGCATCAAACCGCTCTCCACCGGTTGTTGGAGCGGGTAAGGTTGCGTTCATACCGTGCGACGGCGTCGTCGACATAACCGACGTTTTCGACGATTGGTTCGCGAAGATTATATACGTATCGATCCGACGTAACGGACGAAACCGACGAAAGCTGCGTAACCGACGTTTTCGACGACTAGAGACTAGATACGTATCGATCCACCTGTCGACGTAATCGACGTAACCGACGACAGAAGATTAGATACGTATCGACTGACGTCGAAAACGTCGGTTACGCAGCTTTCGTCGGTTACGTCGGATCGATACGTATATAATCTTCGCGAACTAGTCGTCGAAAACGTCGGTTACGTCGACGTTGACGACTCGTCGCACGGTATGAACGCAGCCTAAGCGATAACAACTGGTGGATAACGACAGGTACGCGCGATACGATAGAGTCTTGTCACTTGCTCGCTTCAACAAGTGGTGGAAAACGGATTGGCGCCGTGTCATATCCGTCCCACCTGACGCCCCTTCATCCGCAGCGATCAATACTGTGATTTTTTGACCGGGTTTTTGAATAATCCTTTTCCTTTAAAATTCACTAATTATGTGTGCAAGGTGAGCTCAAGTTATCAGGTCTACCACAGAATCGCGCTGCTCATTTATCTGTCATGTTCAGTAATCTTTGTATATGCGAGGACCGTTCGAAATATTCCCGGTATCGGGGTAATTCAGCAGCGACAAAGAAATTCAAATCATTTTATAGGTAACGACACTCCCTGAGGGTATAAATACAAAATTTCATTTAGTTATCATCAATGCTATTCTAGTTATCCTTGGTGAAAGAAGACCAGAATGACTGATGCGACAGTGTTGAAAAAAATGAGTACTGTAAAAAAATTGAGAAGAATGATGAGAAAATGACTAGTAATTACTTCTTGTTTCCCTACCTGAAAAAAAAGTTCTTCGTGCAAAGCGTTCTTCTGAGAAGGAGGAGCTGAAAGCGGCAATCAGCGCACATTTTAGGAGAAGGAGGAACAATATTTTTAGAGGTTGTCGAATAGTCAATTTCCCGAGCAAGCATTTGCATTGAGCTATGAGGGACTATGGAATATAAATTTTGTTCAGAATTATCTGCTTTCTTCTTCGTACCTATGCCGAGAATACATAGAACACCCCTTGTAAAACTGGGCCTGTACAAACCATCTTTTACATTTTCGTCTCCATTATGTGGTCCTTGTTTTCAGGGAGTTCCCGAACAAATAGACTCGTGGCTTTCCAAATACTGTGTACTGTGTGACGAAGAACTCGGAGATGAAAATCTTCTGCTACCTTTCCCTCTGGACAGGAGTAGCAGGTACGCCTCTAATCTGTCGGCTATATTACTAGTGAATCTTGTTTCAATAATACTTTCAGATTAGCGTGGGCAAAAACCCTTTTTTCGGGGAAGCCTTTGAACAATCTTCTTCAGAAACAACAACGATGGGTACGATCTTTTTTTGCTTCCTGTAGACATATGTTAGCCTAATATTGTTGTTCCTTCTAAGTTTTAATTTTTTTTAGCTTTATGAGCGACTAACTAGAGAAACAGCTAACTCACTATCGGTTATGTCTCTTCCATTTCCCTAAAAGCAGTTTTTCTTTATCTAAGGACTGTATTGATTTCGACCAAAGCTCACAACCTCTTAGTTTGGTAGGTTTTTTTCTGTTCAGCAGCCATGCATGGCTCCAGTTATCTCCTTTTCTAGAACATTTGCCAGTACGAAAGAATTCCACGCGGTCCACAAGGTGTCGTGAAATGTCCTCTTTGTGACACATGGAATGTTGTGTCAGAAACAACGCAGATTCGAACGCCAAACGGAGCTGCTGAACGCAATTTCCTTGTCGAATTCCTTATCAGTGGAGATAAAGCGGTCAGTTTTCCTAATTTACGCTCTGTGATATGAGCCATAATTTGCCGCGGCGTTTTTTTTTTGGAGGGCGTATGTTGTCGCCATTTTTTTTTTCTGCAAATATTAGGGTGAGGAATAAATTCGTGGGTGTTCTACGTTCTTATAGCAAATTTTGCTCTAGACTAATTGCATAACAGTTATTCAATGGGGCTCTTTCTACGTTACAGAACTGTGCTACTAAGTATTTTTCTATGATGTTTTTACTTTTCGGGCGCAGCTATGGGAAATTCGGAGGATAAAACATTTTCTGCAGCTGCTCTTCCTCGCTCGCTTTTCTTCAATGCCAAAAACCCGTCAAAGAGGGCCTGGACCTTTGCATGAATACGGAGAAGATGACATATGCGAGTCTACAGCACGGAAATGGTTTACACTCGAAAAAGGGATTTCATATGTGTTGGTGGTCAGCATTTGGTGGGACTGGGAGGACACGGTTCACTGGGAGCGGTTTGGGAATGCCTGTCAACAAGGAGCCCTGCGAAACTTAGGTACATCGCGCCAAAGAGGCTATTTATTCGAAAAACTCACCGATAGGGCCAAACCATACTCCTTCACGACAACACGAAAGCCCATTGCACAAGTCGTTAAGACCACTCTCCAAGTGACCGAATGAGAGCTTCTGAAAGCGCCCTTATCCCCGGATCTTATACACCCGGGCTGCTTCAGCAGCTTCTTGTGAATGTTGCTTTTTCTTCCGGGATATTCCATTTCTGAGCGCAAAGAGAATAAAAAAATGCGTCATACAAAAAGACGTTAGCCGATTAGCTGAGGTGAACAAATATTCAGAGCTGTTTCTGCTCTTCATAGAGCAGAAAGAACTCTGAATATTTGTTCACCTCAGCCTAATATTTTCGGATCAATATTGCAGCGTCTGCAACACGCGGCTGGAGGCAAATGAGCGTGATGCAGATGGTGCAGCCCGCGGTACGCAGTAATTTTCGGGGCCTATCATCGCTGGGGTTTTTCCAACAGGAGGGAGGGGGTCGTATTTGGTCTCAGAAAATTTTTTTGGTAATTGGAACTAATGATGTGCCCTGATGGGTTTAGCTGCCACTTTTTTTCGGAGGAGCCCATGATAGTCACGAAAACAAACAACAAAAACCAAACCAAAATCCCGTACTGTGTTGCCAGTATCAAACTGCTCCTCATAGTTCTCTTATTGTTAGCAGTTTCACCTCTGTTTCTTATCGCTGTGGGATGGTAAGCATTAGAATTTTCTGCTCATAATTTCGCGCCGATAATCCTTCAGCCAAATCCCCTCTACGCGAGACTTGCTTAGTTTCTGTTCTGCTTCACTGTCTTCACTCCATCATCTTGCCCAAAGCTTCAAAATTCGGTGTTTCTCTTACGTTATATAGTTATTAAGACATAGTTAGAAACAAATTATGAGGTGAGATTCATACCTAATGACATCGCTTTCAGACTTTGAGGAAAGGCGTTGAAAAACTATCTCCTGAGGCATCCACGATCTGTAAGGCGCACATGGAAAAAGTGAGTTTTTTTTCTTGTTAGAAGTGATTTCGTTTGACTAATGTCAGAATTACCTACTTTTGTTCCACGATGTAGTTGTGCCTTATCTTCCTTTATCTGACTAGGTTTCCAATTGCATCGTGTTGAGCCTTATATGAGTATCGGCACTGTTTACCCTTTGCGGAGGATCCCCTATTATATGCCACCAGAAAGGGAGTTGTCTTTTTCGCCGTGTCTCCCTAGTTGCCTAAGCACAACGCTCGGCATGAAACCGAGTGAACTCCGTGCTAAGGAGTGCCGGATCAAACCCCTTGAGATTCGTTTTCAGCGAATTCCGTGATTTAGGGTATTTTGGCGTCGGCACCTGTGACGCGGACGCCGGCCGGTTCCGCGCTAAAGGATGTGATATTCGTGTTTAGGAGGTTGGACCATCTCTGGAGACAGTTTGCACGCAAATAGAACCTCTGACCTGGGATAGTAAAGAGTACATAGTGCCGAGTTTCCAGTTATGTCGCGAGCTAACATATTGTTCCTTTCATTTCTTGTTTAACTTAGATCACTTGAGATTTTCCTATGCTTCTAGGACCCTTTCGAGCAAATAGCCGAAAGGAAACTTGTTGCCTCAGTGATGGTGCAGTGTGTGGCTTGCTCTGCTCACGATCTTGCGCAAAACATGACTCCTTTTCCCACATGATCCGGCAGAACGGATAATGTGGGTGGATTCAATGTCACGTAGACGAGCGGTGAGTTAGGTGGTTGAACCACAATCTCAGACTTCGGGTATGTATAGTTTTTCAGAATAGGATGCGTTTGTTGAATCGCTTGTCGTTAGAAGGACGGCATTATATTTGTTCGCAACATTTTCATGTTAATGCCCTTCGGTATGCGATCTCTCCTTATGTGATATGTTGATTGTAAACAACTGCTTGACTTAATTTTCAAGCATTTACTTTCAGATACATTCCAGGACTAGGGATTTTCAAAAAAGCCTTTTTCCTCCCTATTCATGATCCAAATGAGCAAACCCTCACTCGAGTACCGGAAATACAGGCTAGTTCCTTTGAATTGACTGTGTATTTAATTTGTACCGGGTCAATTAGGTAGTAAATGAAGAGGATTGCAAATTCAAGCCTCCAGTTTAAAGGCATACCCGCGCTTAGAAATGGTGATTTTGCGCCTGAAATATAGGTTGGAAGGAAAGTCCTTGTCACTGTTGTGACTTTTTTCTTTTTATTTTCTAACTCAACATACAGTGGGAATTAGTCAACAATATACTCGTCATAGTTAGCCACTACAGTGCTCCACCTAATGGGCAGGTAAGCATTCCCCCTCTCCCAGAACTGGGGAGGCTGCGAGTAGAGTAAGTCAGGGGACTCTCGACTGATGTCATCAAAGTTGCTGAAAGTTTTCTTGGCTAAGAAAGCCTTAAGGAGGCGGAGCAGGTAGCAGTCGTAGGGACTACGTCAGGAGAATATGGCAAGCGGGGACTGGTCTCCCAGCCTTGCTCCTCAATATTTGGTAGGTCTCCATAGCAGGTATGGGGTCTCGCGTACTACGAACGAGGTGCCCGAAGCTAGTCTCGGTCATTTTTCTCCAACATTCCCACGGTTTCAGGAGCTGAGCGACACAAATGGTAGCGGTGACCGTCTGTTCTTACAGGGCAGCCCGTTCTGCAGCATCCCCTCGCGTCCCAGGAGCAGCACAGGAGAACCTTCTCGGAATACATGCCCGGTTTGGACTGCTAGAATGGATCTTCTCCTTGAGAGAGACAAACGGTACTGTGTGGGTTGAAATCATAGAGGACCCATCTCTCATCCCACTAAGCAGTCTCCGAAACTCCTTCTGACGAGGGCGGAGAAGGGGAGACTGACCAAGGGGTACCCGGGTGCGCAGCGTGCCATCGGTCAAGGTATGAGTGATCCATCGAGCCAGTACTTTTCGGTAGTCAAGGGCTTACAGGCGGTGACGACTGTCAGTTAGGTACATCCGAGTCTTGTCGCAAGACTGCGGGTGGTAGCCTCCGGATCCCCCTTGTTTGCTTCGAGAATGGTGGAGTCTCTCTCTCCAGGAGCCGTCCCAAATGGTTGCCTTCGAAGATCGAGTCTCTTTTCGCCCTGCGAGCGAACCAAAAGTGAACGGTCCTGATGGTACAGGTGTCCTCCAATGCACTGTTGATGTTGCTGACAGCTGCCGTGGCTCCAGTGCTGCGGGGCCACCGATACATGATGATGACCCGAAGATGCTCCTGTGAAACTGACATCGTAATTAGACCCAGGAAAGAGCAGGCGCCCTCACACACCTCTTGCACGAAAGCTCTTAGAATGTTCTACAAGCATGGTATGTTACGTCATGTTCAAGCATCGAGAATCAAAACTGTAACCTTCTTAAAAAACACTGACAGGACTTTCCTTCCAACCTATAATAATGAATATACTAATGGTGGATATGACAAAAGTGAAGAAAAAGCAAGGGAAACCTGTTTTAAGTCCCCTTACAGAACCCCGCGCTGAACCGCGCTTGTATGTGTAAAGGGAAAAGGGGCGTGGTTGGAGGAGTTCTCGCCTGTTGATGTAGGCTCTTTCTCCTTATCGCCTCTCTCTCTCTCACCACTCGAGAAGGAGAGAGTTAGGAGTGGAACAACCGCACCATCAGACAGCAAATCTAAAGGAAAGTCGAGCTCAGCTGTGGTCAGCCGAAGGAGCCGGGGTTCGGCGAGGGGTGGGGGGGGGGGGGCGAGCGGCGCTTTGCGCACGATTTCAGAGCTGTGAAGGTTGTACATCCCCTCGCTTGCAGGAAAGCCCACCATGTCTGAAGAAAGCACCTGAACATCGAATGAACGCGAGGCGTGCCTTTAAAGTCCCCCAATTTGAACTGGAAATATTTTGAAGACCTTAGTATTGCGGTTGATCATATTGATGCCGTTTAAGCTTGATTTTCTTTGGAAGAACTCACTGGTGTTAGCCTTACCTACCCCCTCTTGGCAGTCGATAGCGTTTTCATTTTTTTCATGTTGAGTTTCCTAGACACCAACATTTTTAGGAAGATGATTACGTCCCACTTCTGATCGATGGATTTGATAATGACAAGGTTCAATGGAATCTCGATTATGACAAAGTGACCAGTGTAGTTGGTGAAACAGACGACGGAATTCATCAGGAAATTGATGATGAACATTTTCAAGTGCCCTCTTCGTATACCCGACTAGGTCGATCGCAGGCTCAGGATCTCCAAGAGGTATGATACGTTGAAGTTTCGCAATGAAAGCTATAAAAGTTTCCATTTTTCCTCAGAAATGCAACTCTGAGGAGACTGGCGAAGAAAACTACTGCTACGAGCAAGTCAGCGGAGACCCCGAAAACCTTCAGGGTCATATTCAAGTAATCCCCGTTGACGATGAGTCTCACGTTATATTGGAGGAACTGCCTGTTGCAGAAAGGGAGGAAGTGGTCGTTACTGGAAACTCAGGCTGAAGCTCATCATTGCTATGATAATCATGTTGACTGTCATTTACGATGTTCATAATAATTTGTGATGAACGCTGCTTAAGCCCCCCCCCCTCCTCCCTTGCTTGGATTTACGTGTTAGGTTGTTACGTTTGTTGAACTATTATTGTTAGCTGATTTCTGGATGAGATTATTATCGATCAAATAAAGAGTTCCATAATGCAGTTTGTAACACCAATGCATACGTATTATAGTCGTTTCAATGTTTCTTTCCCTTTCCGGACTCAATTGGTTTACTTTCTTCAAATCCAAGCATTTAATATGAGAGTATTTCTTTCCATGGACTACGCTGCACGCTTGAGGAAAGTAAGTGCCACGTTCTGACTAGTCGTTCAGAATGCACGCAATTGCTTCGGAGCGCAGTTGTAGTTGTATTCAACCGCTCAGGTCACAACCATACTTTGCGACACTAGAGAATAGACGAACAAGGGCTGGTAACTTGCAGATGGGCACTCGGCTGCACTTCCGAGTTTCACCGTTGCTCGGTGCTTCGGCTTAGACAGACGACCGGAGTCACCGGAGTATAGGGTCCCAAGTGGTCTCTACTAAACCGTAGCATTGGCTTAGGAGGCGACCCGGAGGTGCTGCGGAGTACTTTCTTCCCACAAACTATGTTAGAACCGAAGAGAATCGGAGTAGAGTGCCCACAAAAGAATTGTGTCAGTATCGATCTCTCGAACTGGAAGAAAAGGGTTGTTTGACACTTGTTCCTTTCTGCATGTTTTCTTATTATCCATTGTCACGAAGTATGAATTGAAATTAGAATTTAGTCCTTGTCGCGCGTCAAAGAAAATGACAACTATTCGACGAATCACGAGAGCAGTAAAATGGAGATAAATGCATGTGCCCGATTCTGCGAATCTCCAAGTCAGCCATCCTGCGATTATCCTGTTGTCCGGAACTCGCTAGTTACCGGTAGCAAACGACTCCCTTCTATTCAGTTTCTTTCTTTTGCTTTCGTCTTTTTTTTTGCTACCGTTCTCTTTCTTCTCCTCGTTGTTTGTCAGAAATTATAGCAACTTGTCTCGCGGAAACGTCTGTTGAGCTCTACAATTCATGTCGCTCCCCTAGGAAATTCGGAAAGCGCTGTGATTGGGTGGTTTGGTTTCTCCTTGCGGTAACCAGCTGTGTATACAACAGCATAATCTTCATTCTGAAACATTTTGTGACGGTCGCTATTCACTACGTAATTGCTACTGGAAATTGGATTTGTCGTACCTTCTTCTGCTTCCTCTTCCTAGCGTACTTGTCCAAATTTTATTGAGGTTAATTTTTTTCGCCAAAACTTTCCAGCGATCCCTGTTCCAGACCTCGGCCGCGTACAGACCAGCAGCAATCATACCATAATACGCTTCAGGTGGACTATCCCGCATTCTAGGTCAACCTTCTGGATGTTCGCCGGTGAAAGTGACCTTCTCAGCAGACTTGCATACGGCATCAGGAGGTCTTCCGTTGAACATGACCATACCAGCAGAGGTAAGATCCGCTAAGGGAGTTGGCAGTGCTGGGCCTTGATTTTGTCACAGATGGTTTTATTTCGTAATTTGTTCGAGCCCTATGTGCTCCAGACTAACGTAGTTTCTTCGGCCGTTATCTGCTTGGTCTAGACACCATAGGTGGCGATTGGCCTCACAGCTAAAGTGTGATCCTTGGACCTATAGGAGACTGGCATTGCTTGTTGCCGCAAGTAGAACGGCCAGTGACCATCGCTCTGCCTTGCTTTCAGGTCACGCTATATCATAGCGAGTTTTCTGTTGGTGTTGGTATTCGCGTCTGTCGTCCGCGGCCAGCGTAACGCTCTCATATAAAGAAACTTCGTTGATGTGGCCAGAGGCCGTACCCATGCATCAGAGTGGAGAGTTCCGTGACATGCATTCGTATTTGTTGATGGTTCAGTGCTTGCAGCCTTTGGGTGCAGCAGTGCCTTTTTCCATCGGTGCGCAACCGTTCAACTTTGTTAGCCCATAGCAGCAGTAAAAAGCATATCCTAAAGATGAGGGCGTTTCCTTTCCAGCTTGCCTGTCGCACAGTCCAGAGTACAATTAGGAAAGTCAGTACCTAGCCAGACTCAATTCTCCTTCAAATGGTTCGAACTTGTTTCACCTGTGATCGACGGGCTCCAGTTGATCGCCAAGTTGCTCCAGTGGGCGTCAGTAACGTTTCCATTCGTCCTTGCAACGTGCCTGAGTTCCTCGGTAGGTTTTCTCTGCTCGAGGGACATGATGAACATCACACCATCAGTTCAGCGTTTTCACAAAGAAGTCTGCATCGTCAGGTTGTTTCTGTTTTCCTCTAATTGGGATAAGACTTGCTGTGTTGTACTTGCTGTGGCTCATGTGCCCGGCCCACCTGATCCTCGAACCTTGGCGAATGCGGCCGCATGGCTGATCTTCCGTCGTTGACGGAATGTGGAGCAAGAAATTTTGATTGTCGCTCTTTCGTGCTTCGATAAACGTTGGCCGTTCATCGCTGTTTCGCAGGCCTACCTTGCCGTACGTAGGGCAGCCGAGACCGCCGGAAAGAAGGGTTGGGGTCTGGTGTGAGTGTTCTCGTTTGTTGCCGTTTATGCAAAAAAAAAAAAAGAAAAAAAAAAGTGGCACATCCATGCTTGTATAGTGATATCTGTGGTAGGTTATCCTACATTCTATAAACCACTAACTCTGTGTGTCGGTTTGTCGGTATGTATGTATGTATGTATGTATGTATGTCCGTCCGCAAAATGCTTCACGGGTTCGAGTTCGCTGGAGGCGAAAACGACCGCTAGGCAAACAGGCAAATCGGTGCGGAAGTATCAATCCAATGTTTTGATCGTGATATCGGCCTCCGCTATATAAGACAACCATTCGGTACACTCCGAGCCATTGCACGAGCTGCTGGCGTGGCAGCTGGACGTGTGCTCGTGCGGGGGCAGGGTGGGGTGGGGCCGAGAGGGGGCCACTGGCGGCACCCCCTCCCCCACTGGTTTGTAACTATGGTTGTTTGCACTGATCGCCTTATTTCCCGTAATTGTTGGACCGCGGTGCAGCAAGCGATTTCGTTGTCCTAATACAATTCGGCGTAGATAATGTCCTGTACCGTTTGTGTGTTTGCGTCCGTCTGTGTGTCAGGAAGTACATGGTGTCCATCGCAATAAGCGCAAGACTTTGGTCCCGAAAACCAATAGGAGGGGGCGGCACAAGAATTATTGGTGGGTGACAGCAAGTGCTAAAAGCTGGTACGATGCTATACGGGGCCAAAAAGGGAAGATCACTGTATTCACAACGCGGTGACAGTATCAGCCTAGGTACTAAGGGTGGCTTAATGACTGTGAAGCTGACAAATTCGATAAGAGGGCGCCAAAAAGGGTCGGTCACCGGCATTCCAGCGGAAGTCCTAACGTCGTGAATGTGGTGACGTGGGATCAGGGCACGCCATCGAGTTGTGATCACTTCCTGAAAAAATACGCCCCCTGATTCCATCCTCAAATACGGCCCCCTCTCCTTCCTCATGCTACCTACCACTTTCCTAGATTTCCTACTTCATTCCAGTTTTTTTCAGCGTGGACTATTCCGTCGAGGAAAGAGGGGGGGTATATACCTCATATTGAACAGGGAAAATTCCTTGGATTCCTGACGCCCCCTACCGTCTCCGAAAATTTTTCCGAAATAAATTCTGGTTTCTTTCCCCGCAATTTACTGTCCATGTTCAGCGGGGGAGAGGCGAGGAGTCGTCAGAAATTGAACTATCAATTTCCAATACGAAACAGTTGTGTTTGATTTTGATACATCTCCCAACAACGACCAATATGAGCCCTCCCCCCCCTCTATAGTGTCCGTGAAACAAAGAAGAGCGCATCTTGTCAAGAATTGTTTCGCCAGACCAAATACGATCACCCCCCCCCCCGTTTGGGATCATCACAACGTTGGCGTGCACTGCGTGGATGTCGCCGTGATGTAGAAGGAGGAATGTCCGGCGACAGCTGGACGATCCGACTGTTGGACTATAAACGGGATTACCAAGAAGAAAATCATGGTACTGCTGTTGAGCCACTTTCTCTGGTTTTTTTTTGTAGAAACTCCGCACTAAACACTTATCGACGTGAGTCTGACAAAGCAGGATTGTTCCTCGGAAAAAGAATAAGAGGTAAACCGCCGGGCGTGGATCGAGACTTTTTTTGCTTACAAGGTGGCTGTGTTTACAAAAAGAGAGAAAATGGAGTATAAATGCTCACGATTTTCCATGTTTCCAAAAGCTTTTTTGAAAGCGGAACGTGTGGACGAGTGTCCTTGTTTTCTGGTCCAGCTCGCAGTGTGCAGTTCACATCATGACTCTGCAGCAGCTGATCGATACCCAGCCAGCTTAGCGTTCGCAGGCTCTTCCATGTCTTATTATAACAAGCTGGCAAGCGATTTCCTTAACTATCAGAACAGTATGCGAATGCTGGCACCTGATTTGTTGAATCGCGCTACAGTTGCGTCAAAAACGGGTGATTGTTTTCGTGTATAGTGTAGATGACTCACTTGCTGATATTGACTCGCTGGAAAGCCGTAGCTGGCGTTCTGTGTTTTGTTTTTTTTCCAAATGAGTCACCCCCTTTTGATTCATTCAACGTTTGATGTTCCAGGTTCTTCTGGAATGGCCTTCACTTTTGCTGCCTTTGCTTATCTCATCGCATTAATTGCTGTGGCGTTTTGTATATTCTTCGCCATATATACGGTAGGATGTTCCTTATCGATACGAACCTCTTTTTTTTACTTTTAGTAATGTTGAGCATTTACTAAATATCTGATTGACGGAATTTCTGCTTTGAAGGGACACCTCTTTTTCAGGTGGTCTGTATTGATGAGCTGAAAACGGGCTAAGAACACGATAGAGCAATGTCGGATTCTGAATCAGGTAGGTGTGTAGCTAGTGAATGGATTTTACATTTCGATGGGCTCTAGATGGGCAGAAGGGGTGTAGTTCATTTTGTCCAAGGCGCCCCATCGCGCGCAAAATCGCAGACAATTCATTAGCCAGTAGACTTGACGCTGGTGCAGGAGGTGGTCGTTCGGTACGATCACATTGTTATTCACGTGTTCTGACAGTCAGTGGTGCCTGTCTACCTGGTTGCATAACTCGTCCGAATCGTTGAACTATGAGGTTTTCGCGATTGATAGCCTACATAAAGCGGTTAGTGTTGACTTGTATGCTTATGTTCCCCGTCAGGTCATCTGATGATACACAAGGAAAATCATTAGTTATAATTTCAGACAACTTTTCGTGCCTGGTAGACGGTTTGCCTGGGATGTTTTGACACGGAGGTGGCTATGTGATTGCATTATATAGCATACAGCCATGCGCTGCAGCATTGTTATGTTGAGCTAATTGGGTCGTTGCGCGAATGACCCCGCTCACAACCTCTGTTGCCCGCTCTCAGAGCGGCTTGGATGTCTTAAACTACGACCGTTCAGAAAGTGCGCCGAGTTTTGTCTGATGAGGAAGAGTAGAAGTGGTTCAGGGAACGGAGGACGTGTAGGATAAGCATGCAGTAGAAGTGGAGCCACCCACTGCTATTTGCTTCTTTTGACTTCCTTATAATAGCCGTTTTCGTTCAGGACTTTTTCCGGCCCTAGTTGAGTCTCTGCAGGCCTTGGTTGGTTGGCTTCCACGCCAAGCCTGTGCGGAGCCGTGCGGACTCGTTGGCGAGAATCACGCAGTTGGCGTTGGGATAGTTGACACACATACAATGGATGAATGGCCAATTGTTGATGATCTTGGCTAGAGCGAACAAGCTAAACCGCGTTGCGGTTGCCAATCGCCTACGCCTATTGTAAAAATATCATAAATCTTACTAAACGCGTGACGAAAAGTGGCTGTAGAGATACAATTATGCTACTGACTATCACCTCTATCGATCAACAAAATCCGGCTGTGGCGCATTTGCTGCCATTTGGCAAAAGGTGGTAATTCTTCATCATAAGACAATGTTCTTATCCACTGTTGTGTTCAATAAGGTGGAGTGTCAATGGCGCAGGAAGCAAATGTAGCTGTGACTCATATAACTGCTCAGGAACATCAACGGTTGAGGAAAGATCTTAACAGAAGAAATGTCATCAGGTCGACCCAGTCGATAGCAATGAGATTTCCATATCGATGAACGCGTCCTGGGAAAACTTGACTGGACAGAAATCTTTCATGATCCTCATCCTTATCCTTATATGTGTTCCTTCATTTGTCTAGCTGTTCATTGCGAAGAGTTGCG